ATGATGCGGTAAGCAGGCCCGTAGCCAGCTTTATATTAGTGGGGGTTCGTTTGTAAATGTTGGCAATTTGTGAGGGCGGGAAGCGACCGAGCCGGTGGAGGGTGTGGGAGGGGGTACACCCCCCTCCCGCACGATGGAGATTTAGATACAATAATGTAACCCAAACCCAAGAGGATAGGGGTTTGGGTTACCCCCCCTATCCTCTTGGGTTTGGGTTACATTATTGTATCTAGATGGAGATTATGCAATTATTACACTAAAATGGCGCGATCTGGTGCATACCTAAGGTGAAATTCTTGCAAATTTTCAAATGGAAAAAAAGTTTTTATTTTTTTTTGGTTGGGGGGGTGGTTGTGCGAACCCCCCGAACCCCCCCTGGCTACGGGCCTGCGGTAAGTATGATTGCTTTGATAAATTCACAGCTTGCTATCGAATATTCAACACCTAAAAAGGCTAAATCATTTGACAATGGATTTGTAATTGGGTTCTTGATCCGTTCTAGGCTTAGATACAAATATCCGGATATCTTTTTAGATATTTAGAAGTTTTCGAGATATTTAGAAAAATCTGGATATTTAGAAAATTCCTTAATATTTAGAAGATAAAACACAATTTTCTCAAATATTAAGGATTTGTAAGGATGAGTTTGTCTTTTTCTGTATAAAATTTTTTAATTTATATTATTTTAATTTTTTTTATAAATTTTATTAAATATAATTCTGTATTGCGATTTTTTCGCACAAAATAAATATGTTTAAAAGACATTACGTTGAAATAACTGAGATATTTAGAAAAAATTTGGGGATATTTAGAAAAAAAATTGAGATATTTAGAGATATTTTGGAGATATTCCGGAAAGATATTTAGGCCATTTTTCAAGATATTTGTATCTAAGCCTAATTCGTTCTTTATCGTCATATCTTTCGACTCCCGAAGTAAGTTATTCAATCGCATCTCTTGTTCAATCCAACTTTAGAACCCTAGATTTTAATGGTGAGCATAGGATTTCGTTAGATGAGGGCAAGAGTTAGGTGTAGCGTGATGATAATGATAATCTACAAGTCTAACACTAACAAGTGAACAAGTTGTCAAATAAGTATTGACCCCAGACATCTAGCCCGACCAGGCTGTGCGACGGATTGTTTATACGGTATATTCTAACCCTAGCAATACCGTTTCTTGGAGCTACCAGACATCCTGCTTTCCATGTCATCCGATCTTCACGGGTGGTTCATGCTAGTATAGCAGGGTTTCTTCTGAGGGAAACTTAGACAAAGGAGGAAAATGTGTCCTGTTTGGGAAAAACACGCATGATGGATTCAAATACAGGATGTATTGATATATTATAGGTATATAGATACAGGATATACTTATCAGTAAATACAGGAACATTTCCACAACAGCGATGTTAAATTTGACAACGGCGGTGCGCCACTGTGCCTCTTATGTATAAGAAACCCTGTATAGACATGCATCTAACCGCGTGCGCGTCTGTTCCCAGGTTACAGAAGAAGAAGAATCGAGGAGGTGACGACTGGATGGAAAACCTCTGGCGGAATCACCCGGAAATGTTTGACAGCGATCTCGAGTCCGACGATTTCATCGATGATGCCTACTTCGATGATTCCGACTCCGACGAATGGTGAACATGGTGATGCGGTGCTGCGCCTGCGAGCGAGCCGAGACGATAAATGTGAACGATTAATGTTAACGGCTAACGATTATTAATAGTATAATGGTGAACGTATGGCCAATTCCACCGTTACGGACGTGACGTTTACATGCAAATTGCAACTTTCAATTGATAAACAAACTTACTTGCAGTTGAAAGAACAGTTTATTTTTTCTTATACTTGTAGTATACACTATAGTATTTGAAATAGTAAAACAACTTTGTTTTAGCTTAATTGATTAATTAGCCACAATCATAAGAAACGAGCGTTACAGATGTTACGCGTTGTGACATGACTTTTTCACATTTGCCATTTGGTACATATTAGTAAAACTCTGTGAAGTTACTTCCTTTAGTTTTTTTTACTAACTATGTTGATGTCACAGGGACTTGAGGCGGGAAAAAAAGTGTTATATATATAAATAGAAGTACGCTTCTATTTATATATATAACACTTTTTTTTCGCCTCAATCCCTGGTGGTTGATATAGTGGTTCTGCCCCCATTAATATAGATCATTAGTCATAAGACATATTATAAGGACCCGAGTATATAGGACATGACAGATAGGCAAGGTTTGAAAATTACATCTGAGGTGCAGTGTGTACTGTTACCGTTAACTTACAGTGGGAGGTGTTAATTAGTGGTTCAGGGAACGTTACATGTATGAAATTAATGAAAACAACTGTAAAAGACTCTACGGCTGTTTTGTACGGGCATAAAGACTCACAAACAAACTTGCTCTAACGATACACGATCGACACTCACGATATAAATTAAGTCATTCTGATACAACTTTGTTCGCTTGTGTCACAAGATAGGGCAATATAATTTATAATGAAATGAGCTTGGTTCGCAAAAGTAAATTAGATACGAAGAAATAATGCTGGAGAGGTCTATGTCCCCCGGGCGTAGGCTACTGCCGGGAACGGACCTGGTAGCGCGTTCCGGATACGGAACGTACCCTAGGTACTATCTAAATATGGCCGAACGAGACAAGGCACTGGGAGATATTACTCACTAACGAGTCATAGGGAGTCGGGCCTGCGCCTACTCCCTAACCGGAACCCGAACCCTGGGAACCCTATCCGTAACCCTAACCATAGTCAAAAGTGACCATGCAGCAGCCAGGGTACGAGTGTCCGGGTATACACGGACCTGTACCCAGGGGGTAAGCGTTCCGACGAAGTTAGGCCATGGAAGGGGCTATAGACCCTATGAGCGAAAAGACATGTACATCGTAGCACATTCCTCTCTCAATACAACAATTAATAGAAAGACACCGCTACCGGCGACGTGTTAGACCAAGCCAGAAGCGCGTCACACCGGGGATCAGTCATCGAATGACACAGTCGCGAGATGATTTTGCATAGCGAACGCGAGTGCAGCGCGCCATAGCACGCGCGAGCAAATAGAACGCTGCCGTTGCGGTTTTCACCATCAGTAAACGAGATCAGCGAGTCAAGAAGTTCTGGCGGAAAACAGACGCACGCAGATTACGGAGGTTCGATAACTATTCAGCTCGGATGTCCATTTGCTGTCAGCCACTGCGCTGCCAAGAGAGGAGAGGACTGGTAGACGACACCGAAATGTCTGATGTGTGTCCCGATGATGTGCAATAGTTACGCCAGACGGCGGCGGACTTTCAACGGGTAATTAAGCCCGTATCTAATAGTGCGGTGAGTGCCGGTAAAAGTGACGTGTTGCGCGGAGAGCTCGTGAACAAGGGCAGTTGTGAACTTGCAGCATAATATAGGGTCACATAGACGGAAAGATACCACAGGTATAATTAGCTCAGGGGAGATGGCGTAGATAGACGTCGTAACGACTTTGCGACACTGGCGCAGGGGAGTATCAGAGGCGGCAGCTAAGACTGACTGGCGCGGGCTGAGATGGCCCTGTTGCGCACGAGACTAGACGACCTCGGTAAGTCTCACTTGAAGGCTGACTTGGTGATACGCCTCTTGGCTCCCCTCGCTTCGTCAATAGGGCAGAGGGAAGGAAGTACGTGACCAAAGTGGGCGTGTTCAGGCGGGGGTGGGGCCAGGGGTCCGGACCCCCCCTGCTCGCGAGGAAGACAAAAGGACAAAGAAACGGAAGGGACATATGAAGGGTCTAATTTTCAAAATTTTTCCGAAGACCCACCGTGTCGGCGGAGTGGAGCTCGCCAAGTTTGGGAGAGAGAGAGGTGTAAGACTCGGTCTAGACGAACCACCCCCCCTGTACAATCGAGAGGATGCAGGACGCAGCTCCTGAGATACTTACCTGCAAGCACTCGTGCTCCTAGGCAATATTTACCTGAGTTGAAATCGTCGATAAGTATGATATGAGGAAGATGGCGATGAGGATCCCCATAGGGTTATTATATGTATGATAGCGAGAGTTCTGAATAAGTGGTTTTGACGTTGAGGACGCAGCCTACAACTCGGAGCACGTAACTACTTCGTCATTGGATGTGGATATAACAGAGGAGGAGCCACGAAAACGGTTATTATAGTTATGTTGTGAGATGTATTACTGATTTATATGTTACTGACTGTTTATTAGTAGCACGGATAGTGCTAATTGGGTTTTCATAAGGACATACTCGCAGACAAGGTTTTATTTCTTGGATTCGCTTGCGTCGGAAATTCATATGTATTGCTTATAAACGACGAATAAATTAACTTTGGGTTTTTAATAAGATTTGTTATGTGTTTCTGGACGGAACACGTGTTTAGCAGTAGTTTGCCAAGTAGCGTCTACGGGACAAGCACCAGGCTACACATGTTCAGTGCACAACACGCCTCCAAGACACTGGTATGCATCCATATCGTTCTGATATATATATATACTGTA